CAACATTTTTTATCCTTTGTTAATTTTACGTTAGTCTACTACTCTACTCTACTAACGTAAAGTTAACATGCTTCTACGTTAGCTTGAGCGACACCAAGTCAAATTCCTGACACTGTGCATTTGTGACGCAACAAGGAATAGGCCTATACGCCAAGCAGATATATTGTAATGCCTATTATCGAGGCTAAAACATAACACGTGTAGTCGTGTAGTAATCGAATATAAATAAAACTGAAGTGTGAGTTTGCAGAATCAGTGCTTGTCCAGTGGTCTTTGATTAAAAAAGTCAAGCAACGTAAAAGTTTAACTAAATGGATAAATTTTTAAAAAGAACATCCGAAACATCTGATACTGAGCAACATATTGTACCTAGCACAAACAACGTTGAAAAAAAAAACTTGTCAAAAGGAAATACAGGGAAGATTACATTAAAAATAAATTTTCTTGCTGTGGTAACAAAGATGCTCCAAAACCAGTCTGCGTTATTTGTGGGGAGCAACTTTCAAATGAAGCTATGGTTCCGAGTGAACATATGCGCCACTTAAGGACGAAATACGGTTTCGTGTCAAATTTGGCAAAAAAGAACTTAACTTTAATACAGCAAAGATAAGTAATGGTACTTTTTCTGAATGAACGATACGACTGGATCCGAAATCTTTTCTCAACTAGTGCTGAAATGTGACAGAACGCTAAGACTGAAATTCAGCGAAATTGCACATGATGTGTTTTGGATTTTAATAAAAGAAGAATATAAGCGCACATTTCCAATGCGGCTACTGAAATATTGCTCCAGTTTCGCACATCTTATATGTGCGAACAAAGCTTTTCCTATTTATTACTGATCAAAAACGATAAACGATCCTGCATAAAGGATGTTGACGGCGAACTTCGAGTTGCTCTTTCACGTATTGATCCTAATATATAGCGATTGTGCTCATTAAAACAACCACAAATCTCTGATTGAAACATGAACATAAAACAAAGTTACACTTTGTTTTTTTTTTGTATGTTGTGGTGTGCCGTCGAATTTGGCAAGTTTTATAGGTGTGCCGCGAGTTAAAAAGGTTGCGGAGCACTGGTCTAGACCTTAGACAGGGGTCGGGAACCTTTTTTGCCAAGAGAGCCATAAAAGATACATATTTTCAATTGCATTTTCGTGCGAGCCATACGGAATTTTCATTCCCTAATAATGTCTTGAATTTTCACTCAAAAGTCAACACATACAGTGCCTCAAGATACATTTAATGTAATTTCTGATGCTGCAAGTTGTCGCTGATGGCCTTGAACGACTGCTCACATGCAACACATGTTGAAATCCACGATACTAATCGCCTTTCTTACTAAGCATCTTCGTATTGCTTATAATAATCTAAATATTACTAGGGTTACCATATTTTTGTGACTTCAAATCGGGACGCCTCGAAAGACAACGACCCCTTAGCTGTGATTTTATAACTTCACATTTTCCGATTTTACTACATTCCTACATTTAAAGCTGTCTCGGCTGTCTTTATTTACCATATTGTGATCGAAATTTCATGCGCATATTCTCTGTCAAAATATCGGGTTCAGTTCGAAAAATAGAAAGGAATTGACGTTAACGATACCGGTACAAATAATTCGAATTTAGACTAATTAGTATTGGTTTTACATGCGATATGTCTGCCATCAATGGGAATCAGTGGGAAACGAACGCATTCGCCTTCAGTAAGTAGGCTAGCGCTGCGCTACAAAGAAACAACAGTAACGAGAACATGTTTGTGTATTATGCTGGAAAAGCGGGACGGAATGCTTTTCGCTTCGTTTACCAACTTTAAATCGCTTGGTGATGTCACAAAATATGTTCCAGAATTATTTAGTTTTGTCGCAATGTCTATCTGGCACTTCTCTCACATAACATTATAACATAGCATGTTCTTAAACGTAATGGCTAATGCTATCCCACATTTAGCTATATATATATAGTTTGATATCTGGTAACAATAATTAGCTTATTTTTGGAATATCATATTCTCTGGGAGCCATATGTCGTCACCAAAAGAGCCATATATGGCTCGCGAGCCATGGGTTCCCGACAACTGCCCTAAAACAAAATGTAGTTCGTCTGTGCCACCCTCGTCATTTCTGCTTGGTTTATGAAGTTGTAGGATACGAACATCAATCAATACAGAGTCAGAAGGGGTACAGGCATTGTTACCTTTCCCGAAATCTTATTAATGTGAGGCCTGGTTTTCAATATTGATAACTACAAAAACGAAATAGTCCGGATGTAGAAATCACGTTATATGTGTCAATTTCGGCCATATCTCCAATATGGGAACAGGTAAGCCAACAAATGCAGGTATCGCACTAAATAGCATCACCGTCGTATTTAGTATATTGTCAACATAAATTTCCTATACGTATAATTTATTGCATAGGCTTAGTCCGTTTGTGTGAAGGTGGTCCACCAAAATTTTGGTCAGGCTTTACCGGTGCGTCACTTGGAAAAAGTTGCCGACCACTGGTTTGAGGTTTCCTCTATCATCGCTTAACCTAGTGTTTTCGGTGTCCGGAATTTATCGCTTAACGTAGAATATTACGATATTTTTTAAATTTATTGTAATTTTTCGAAATAATGCAAGTTGCGACTTATATGGCGCTTGTTCTGGTGGCATTTCACCAGACTTGCTCATTAGACAGTATTTTCATATTTATCCCGGGGGAGATGGAAACCGACGAGATGTCTCAACAACTCTCGTCTTTATCAGACAAAACGGTGAGAGATCATTTGGCATGTTACCTGTTTTATATACACATACATGATGATAGAGAGAACCATAATCAACTAGCGGCACATGAACCACCCTGCGGCTTCGAGAGGCCAGCAATCCTCTCGCAGATGATTAACCTACACGGGATGCGAACCTGCGTTGGGTAATCAGAGAATATCATATTATCGACTAGAGAAGGGGTGTGCAAGCTGCAGCCCGCGGGCCTCAAGGAAAAATTGCGCGGCCCGCAGAAAAGTTCCAATTTTGGAGTTGTGGCGATTCACGAAACAAGGTTTTTAAATGTAGTTTAATCTGATACATGCGAGCAATTCCAATCCTTCTTGCGTCGCAAAGCCTACTATACCCGAGTCCAATTTATTATCTATATTTATGACGTTATAATGCCCTACCAGCTAGCTTCTGTGAATCAAACATCGTGATTCACAAAGCTATCACTTGCCGAGCAGCGAGCGATTAAAGGAGAGTGAAGAACGAATGCCAATAAATTAGTAGGAACGGGCAATTAACCTAACCTAACTTGACCTAAGAAATGAAAAAGCAGTTGGAAAAATTTTACCATTGAAAGATACAAAAGCTAAATGAGTTTTAGTTTCAGCATATCAGTTAAATATGTCTAAATCTTGCCTAGAATTAGATAGGACTGTGGTGGAAGCCGACGAGACAGCTTATTCGTGCAGCCTTTAGTCTATTTACTAGTCCATGTTGGGATTAGTTAGTCAGTTATTTGTTTCAGATGCATGGACTCTATGGCGGAGGAAGCCGTAACCGACCAGCGGTTACGTGAACCACCCTACAGTGGCGAGGAGTCCATCAATCCTCTCACGCATAATTTTATCTTTGGAGTGCAGAATTGTACTTAAAAAATGCAAGCGGGTATGAACAAAAGAAGGCTATGCATGTATATTGTTCTAATATAGTAACTTGACAGAGCAAAGTCGTAGTTAGTTTGGAAATTGCAGGTTTTCGTATAATTAAGTTCCGTTGCGAATTGGGGAGAAAAGTAAACCTATTAAAATAAATTTTGTATAAACATATGTATAAACAATTTTGTATAAACATTTGAAAAGAAGCAGTGTGATAGCACATAGCTGAGTGCTGGATAATTCCCAAAATTATATGGGGTTGAAGTCATAACGGAACAAATAAAGACAAGAGAATTCTTGTAGACAACGAAAGAGCAGGTGCTAGGTTCTGCGGGGCCCAATTAGAAATCTGATGGCAGACCCCCTACTCTTCATATTAAAATTTATGGGTCCTTATATAAAAAAAATAATCATTTAATACTTGCTATAAAACAAATTTAAGGTAATGGGATGTTTTTATTGTTTTACTTTTAACATCAAGAAATACAAAAAATGCAATTTCATTATACTCTTTCAGAAAAATACTTTTCTAGCCATTTTATCAGCAAATTCATTTAAAATCAACAGCTTCAGCAATTTTGCTTTCTATAAGAACCATTGACAAACTGTTGAGTCTTTTAATTGCTGATGGCGACAGAACGATAATTTACTAAATTTACCATGCATAACAAATCAATATTATGAGAAAGATTATCTCACTTTATATTTTACGTTTTCAGCAGTATTTTGTACCTCATAATGCAGATAAATAAAACAGGAAAAGACTAGCGCAGGGTGCGGGGCCCAATTTGATAAAAGCGGCCAAATCGGCTTGAAACCAGCCTTGAGGAAGAGATGTTACATCTTTGTTCAAAAATGGTTCCATCTATTAAAGTATTTTTATTGACATTGGTACATATATTGGGGAATATCATTTATGTCAACCGTATACCCAGCATTCGGTTGGTATTCCATGTTTAGCGCTCAATGGTATTTTATTATTTTTTCTAGTTGCCTCTTCAGCAACAATGTTTTAGTTACGCATTCATTTGCATTCCGTCGAAAATTTGAAAATTATGTAAAGCTGCAACTGTTACGATGCCCAATAAATTGTCGCAAGTCGGAAAAAACAAGTTGATTTACTGAGAAATATAATTCATACTTTTTCGGCTTTTTGGCAAATATTTGAAATTATCAACTTTTTATTAGGATGATTTTCTGTTGAGCAAAATATTCAAATTCATGACCGATACCAGCATTTAAAATGCCTTGCCGTATTGATTAAGCTCTTTTCAACATAACTTATGGGTAAAAATAAAAGCATTAGCCAGCCTACTATTCTAAAATTTCACGGCCATCTGTTGACATAAAATGTGTGGTAAAATGCCCGATAATTAATTTTTGATTCGTATTTTCATACTTACGAAAATATAAAAGCATTAATAGTCTAACACGGCAATCCGTGGGCATAAAATGTCTGGTCAAATAGCCAGGTTGTAGATAACAGTTATCCCATTGTTTATTGTATGCAACTAGTTAATTATTCGGTATCCCGGACTGAAATATTTGATGGAATAAATGAAAATCAAAAGAAATTTCCATAAGACATAATGCGATACACGGACCATACTTGCTAAACATTATAGACAGAATTGAAAAAAATAAATAAAAACAAATTGCGCCAAAGTTTTGAAACAAAACGAAAAGTGATTATCTCAGACAGACAAACTGAAGAAATGTGGAACTAATATAATTTTAAATCAAATTATCCAATAAAATCATTCTCGGATACGGCATCTGTGACTAGTGAAGAAATTCAACCCCAGTATCAGCAATCAATGCTTTGAATCTTTCCAACTGATCAGTGTTGAAGTGGCAATACCACATGTACAATGTTCCAACCTGGCTTTTACGAACAATTTCACTGATTGTAGATAATCCTTCATCTCCGAGTTTGCTGACTTTGTTCGAACTCAGATCCAAGCTGTCGATCTGAAATGATACATGTTGTTATTATATAATATTTATGAATTGATAAATAGGTCATGGTTGGGATGCATATAGGTTGGTTTGCTACTTTGAAATTTCCTTTGAATACTTCAGGTACTTTGACAGGCAGATTAGAAAACCTATCAAAAATTTTGTCCATCTGACATTGTGGAGCAGAAAGTGGAACAATAATACTAACTCTATACCTGACTCTAATTTTTTCCAATTTTATTAGAGAATCAATACAGAGAGACAGGAAATATAAACACGGGGTTAAATAAGCATATCTTTCATGTCAGATTAGAAGACTTGGCAAAAAATCGTTCAACTGACATTGTGGAATAGCTAACAACACAGAAAAATGGCAAGAAATATAAGCGTTATGTATAAGATTGCAAATAGAATTGAAAAAAATTCCACATGGCCACAAGTAATTTGTAAAACTGCTACGAATATTATTTGTATTGTTTTCTCCTGCCTTCCGGCCTAAAAAGTTGTTTCTCCAATAAAAGCCTGTATCACTATTACCTCGAAGAATATAAATCAATTACTTGGATATTACTCAGTTCAACGATTTGCTTATTGTGCCGAGAGCTACGAACCAGGGTTGAAGCTGTGATGTCTTGTTGGAACTCGAGCCAAGCCTATCATTTTAGCTGGAGCCCCCAGAAATTTTAGTGACTTCAGCTAAGCCAATTAATTATTTTTCACTTTCATAATTTTCTTAAAATCTTTATGCAAATGAAAAAAAACATTATTTTTCAGTTCTATTTATTTTTCAACAGTTAATTTCTAATATTATGTTACAATTTCAGAGTTAAATTTGCACAATTGAAAATTTCATTTTATTTTGAATAATTTATAAATTTTATTTAAGTGTTGGTCTTAACTGCAGGGATGTTACTCAAACCATTGACTCTGCTTATACTTTAGTATTGCAAAATTTTTGATGCATAATTTGGAATTGTTTTGGAGAGAAGGCGCTCAACTGGTTTACATAACGCAAGCCATAATTTTTCTTTGAAATATTCAACCATGTGCCGCTCACAGTTACTGGTAGATAATTTAAGCCTATCGCAGGTTTTTCAGGAATAATTTTTGATTATTGCAATTGAACTGAAACTTGTCGGAATTTATATTAACATCGAAGGTATTTGATTATTAACAAATTCAAACACAACTGATAACTGGATAACACGAAAAACACGAAAATGAGGCAATGTTCACAACCATGTTGATTATCTGTCTGAGCGAAAGAATTGTCTGAGTGGCTACAAAAAACTGCAATTGTTACGATAATGTTGACTTATTAGTGATTGGTCATTATTACAAAATGAACATGGAAATCGAAGCTCAGGAAAATATCAATTGCATAACAGTTTGAAAATCTCAGATTCCCATCTTATATCCACCACCTCGGGGTGTGATAAAATGGGTAGGAAATGCTGAAACATGGGATATTTTGGTCCGTAAAACTCATCAAAAGGCTGCTTGCACAAAGCTTCGTTCTGGGTAAAAAAAACATGTAATAATGGCGCATAATACAGCAATGTCCAAAACATTACTAAATTATAGCCAACATCTGGTCAGGTATATGAACCGGTTTTACCTTTGCATTACTAGTGTTTTCCTTGAATGCATTTATTCCTTCTGCTGTCAGATTACAATCATTAGCCTCTAATGCCTTCACCTGACATTTTGAAACAACTAATCCAACTTCACCCCAACCAGCAGTGTCAAGATTATCGTTTCCACTGATATCTAGTATATCCAACTGAAATAAATAAGATCAGTGAACTATTGTAAATAAACTCGGTCACAAAATGTGATCTTGACAAAGAATAAAATTATGAGAAATAAAAAAGCAAACCATAAAAACTGATTGATCAGGATAGACAAATATTTTATAAAGAATTTAATAGTCTGTTGTTTTGATGGAAATTCAACCCAAACAAAATCTGATAGCTGATTAAAATTTTACAAGTTAATCAGGGCATATATGCTGCATGGAGAAAAAGTTTCTTGATAATTGAGTGTTTTCAATTACCAGAAGCCAAATTTTTAAAATTCTATGGAAAAATATTTGCTCACAAATGAGGAAAAATGGTGTATTTGACTTTTCAAGTGGAATGTTGTTTAGGTTGACTTATATATACAGATGTTATTGCACTACCTTCAACACAGAAAACCTTCGCATCAAACAAAAATCAACAGTCACTCAGATATAATAGCAAGACTGTGATTGCATGGATAGAACCTAGAACAGTGATTCCCATCTTTCACCCCTGCTAACCGACAATACGCAACAATATGGCTCATGCACCAGCAGTGAAATTATGAAACAGACGTGTTGTTTTGATCAAAATATTTTGTAGTGAATGTCTGATTAAACACTAACAAATATCATTAGTTGCCAAAGTGTTAATCTCCGCAAGCGGTTAATTAAAGACGATGTTACAAACTTGAGTGAAATTTGTTTTCATGGTTGGTTTTGCGATCAATTAATAATAAATTTGGAATAGAAAATATGGGCAAATGAAATATTACGACCAGATTTATGAGTTTAAGTACTTTTTTTTGGAACAACAGAAAACTGACAAATAACACGCAAACCCATGAAAATGAGGCAACATTCACAACCATGCTGAATATATATCTGGGCAGAAGAAGCATCTTGAGCGGCTGCATATAGTGCAATTGTTACGTTATTGTTGACTTATTAGTGATTGGTCATTGTTACGGAAATAAACAAGGAAATAGCAGCTTCAGATCCCACTCCCATGCCCCCCACTCACTACAGAGTGAGATAAATTGAATGAGCAATGCTGAAACCTGAAATATTTCGGTTTGTCAAACTCATTAAAGGCTGCTTTCACAGAGCTCCGTTCTGAGCGTAAAGCGTGTAATAATGTCGCATAATACAGCAACGTCCAAAACAATTGGGTGTCGCTGCTCGATAACCAGTTTGGTTCCCTGTGAAACTCTGTAAATTATTTTTATTTTTTGTCATAATTTATGATGGTGATATTTTTTACTATTGGAAAAAATAAACTTGACTGGACATTTCTAAATTATGGCATATTAGGGATAGACAATATAGAATAATTTACTATTCTAGAATAGTTAAATCAAATCCAGAATACCGAATCCTATTATATTTTTATATTTATTCATCTGACATAGAATTTACCAATTGTGCAAAGCACAGCGAAAAAGGGTCGAAGCTGTGATGTCTTGTTGGAGCTGGAGCCAAGCCTATCTTTTAGCTGGAAGCGGAGCTTCTACAAAATTTAGTGACTCAAGCTCTCGACCAATTAATTATTTTTCACATTCATAATTTTCTTAAAAACTTTATACAAATGATAAAATCCATTATTTTTCAGTTTTATTTCATTTTTTCAACAGTTAATTTCTGATATTATGTTACAATTTCAGAGTTGAATTTGTATAATTAAAATTTCCATTTAATATTCATTCAATTTAGAAAATTATTTTAATAAGCGTTGGTCATAACTGTATAGATATAGATGTGTGCATGAATTAGCTAACAACCTGTTAGCGGCATGGATGGCTCTAAACAGGTTGTTAGCTAATTTATGATCAGTCTAACGTAGATTTTCTGGGAGTCAGTTTTAATGCATTAAATTGGAGCTCGTAGGAAGGTATAATCCCATTTAAGATATTCAATAAACAACTTATTTATGAAAAAATTGTTACATTATTGTTGACCTTTTAGTGATTGGTCACTGTTCCTTAAATAAACAAGAAATAAGGGAAAAATATCCATTACATCACAGAATAAAATTTTCAGATTCCATTCCTATGCTCTCCACCTCATGGTTTGTTAAATAGTGTGGGCAATGCTGAACCTGAAATATTTCAGTTTGTCAAACTCATCAATGGCTGCTTGTACAGAGTTTTGTTACGAGTGTAAAGCATGTGATAATGTCGTATAATACAGCAATCTCCAAAACATTTGGGTGTTGCTGCTCGATAACCAGTTTGGTTTGTCGCGACTTCTCTTCCTTAGTAAGTAAATTATTTTATTGTCGTAATTCATGATTGTGATATTTTTTACTGGTTGAAAAAATAAACTTGACTTGACATTTCTAAATTATGGCAAATATATGTTCAGGTATGTGAACTGGTTTTACCTTTGCATTACGAGTGTTTTCCTTGAAGGCTTTCATTCCTTCCGCTGTCAGATTGCAATCTGAGGCAATAAATTTATTCACCTGACATTTTGAAACAACTGATCCAACTTCACCAAAGCCAGAAGTGCCAAGATTAGTGTTTCCACTGACATTTAGTATATCCAACTGAAAAAAAATAAGGTCAGTGAATTAATGTAGATGAACTCGGTCACAAAATGTGATCTTGACAGGGAATAAAAGTATGAGAAATGAAGAAAGCAAACTGTACAAACTGATTGATCAAAATGGACAAATTTTTTATCAAAAATTCAACTGTCTGTTGTTTTGATGGAAATCTAACCCAAACAAAATCTGATAGCTGATTAAAATTTTCCTAGTTGATTAGGACATATATACTACATGAGGAAAAGTCTCTTGGAATACCAGAGACCAATTTTGTAAAATTCTATTGAAAAAATATTCCCATACAAAATAGAAAAAAACAGTATTTGACTTTTTGAAGGGTCACTTTATTCAAGTTGACTTATACAGTTGTTATTGCAGTGGGCGATAACAATGCATTGTCTTCAATACAGGAAACCTCCACATCGAACATAAATGAACAGTCACTCAGATATATAAGCAAGACTGTCACTGCATGGATAGAGCCTGGAACAATGGTTACCAATCATTACCATGCGGACTGGGAACACCCAAAAATACGATTAAACACTAAAAAAATAGGTTTATTCGTCAAAGCGTTAATCAAGGCAAGCGGTTAAATAAAAACCATGACTAAAACTTGAGTGATAATCGTTTTCATGGTTGCTATGGCGATTATTCAAGAATAAATTTGGAATAGAAAATATGGGCAAATCAAATATTACGACCAGAGATATGAGTCTAAGTTTTTTTTTGAAACAACAGAAAAATGCAAATAACGTGCAAAACCATGAAAACAAGGCAATGCTCACAACTATGCTGAATACTTGTCTGAGCAAATTAGGTGTCTGAGCGGGTGCATATATTGCATATCCATTGCATCGTAGTGCTTAAAATTCTCAGATTCCGCTCCCATGCCCACCACCACCTTAGGGTGTGATGAGTTGTATGGGCAAAGCTGAGCCTGAGATATCTCGTCCTGTAAAACTTACCGAAGGCTGCTTGCACAAAGCTTCGTTCTCAGCAAAATGCATGTGATAATGTCGCGTAATAAAATCTGATATCAAAATATTGTTAAATTCTATTGTAAAAATATTTGCTCACAATAGAGGAAAGATAGTGTATTTGACTTTTCATATGGAACTGCGTTTAAGTTGATCTATTTATGGAGTTGTTAATGCAGTGGGCGATATGAATGCATTGTCTTCAATACAGAAAACCCTCGCATCAAATAAGTATGAACAGTCACTCAGATATATAAGCAGGACTGTCATTGCATGGATAAAGCAGAAACAGCGGTTCCCAATCTTTTACGCCTATAAACCGACAATACACAATAATATGGCTCATGCAACGGCAGTCAAATTATGGAACAGGCGTGTTGTTTTGATCAAAATATTTTGTAGTGAATGTCTGATTAAACACTAACAAATATGATTAGTTGCCAAAGTGTTAATCTAGGCAAGCGTTTTTTTAAAGACGAATCAAACCTAAGTGAAATTTGTTTTCATGGTTGGTTTTGCGATTATTCAATAATAAATTTGGAATAGAAAATAGGGGCAATTGAAATATTACGACCAGAGATATGAGTTTTAAGTACTTTTTTTTGGAACAACAGAAAACTGACAAATAACACGCAAACCCATGAAAATGAGGCAACATGAGGTTTTGGCGATATGGCGCTTACAAACTGGTTTAGAGAAAATCTACGATAGACTGGGGTTAAATTAGCTGACAATCTGTTAGCGGCATGGATGCCCAGTCAATCGTAGATTTTCTGGGAATAATTTTCAATGCATTAAATTGGAGCGCGTAGGAAGTTATAACGACATTTAAGATATTCAATAAACAACTTATTTATGAAAAAATTGTTACGTTATTGTTGAACTTTTAGTGATTGGTCACTGTTCCTAAAATAAACAAGAAAATCGAAGCTCAGGAAAAATATCCATTACATCACAGATTAAAATTTTCAGATTCCATTCCTATGCCCTCCACCTCATGGTTTGGTAAATAGTGTGGGCAATGGTGTACCTGAAATATTTCAGTTTGTCAAACTCATCAATGGCTGCTTGTACAGAGTTTTGTTACGAGTGTAAAGCATGTGATAATGTCGTATAATACAGCAATCTCCAAAACATTTGGGTGTCGCTGCTCGATAACCGGTTTGGTTCGTCGCGACTTCTCTTCCCCAGTAAGAAAATTATTTTTTTTGTCGTGATTTATGATTGTGATATTTTTTACTGGTTGAAAAAATAAACTTGACTTGACATTTCTAAATTATGGCAAATATATGTTCAGGTATGTGAACTGGTTTTACCTTTGCATTACAAGTGTTTTCCTTGAATGCTCTTATTCCTTCTGCTGTCAGACTGCAACCTCGAACTATGAATTTCTTCACCTGACATTTTGAAACAACTAATCCAACTTCACCAAAGCCAGAAATGCCAAGAATCTTGTTGTAACTGATATCTAGTATTTCCAACTGAAATAAATAAGATCAGTGAACTAATGTAGATGAACTCGGTCACAAAATGTGATCGTGACAGGGAATAAAAGTATGAGAAATGAAGAGAGCAAACCTCAAAAACTGATTGATCAAAATGGACAAATTTTTTATCAAAAATTTAACGGTCTGTTGTTTTGATGTAAATTCAACCCAAAGGAAGAATGATAGCTGATTAAAATTTTACAAGTTGATCAGGGCATATACACTGCATGGAAAAAAAGTTTCTTGATAATTGAGTGTTTTCAATTACCAGAAGAATTCTATTGAAAAATATTTGCTCACAAAAGAGGAAAGATGGTGTATTTGACTTTTACTGTGGAATTTTGTTTAGGTTGACTCATATATATATACAGTTGTTATTTCAATGGGCAATAGCAATGCATTGCCTTCAACACAGAAACCTTCGCATCAAACAAAAATGAACAGACACTCTGAAATATAAAAACAAGACTGTGCTTGCATGGATAAAACCTAGAATAGTGATTCCTATCTTTTACCCCTGCGAACCGACAATAAGCAACAATATGGCTCATGCACCAGCGGTTTAATTATGAAACAGGCGTGTTGTTTTGATCAAAATATTTTGTAGTGAATGTCCGATTAAACACTAACAAATATGATTAGTTGTTAGGTGTTAATCTCGGCAAGCGGTTAATTAAAGACGATGTAACAAACTCGAGTGAAATTTGTTTTCATGGTTGGTTTTGCGATCATTCAATAATAAATTTGGAATAGAAAATATGGGCAAATGAAATACGAAAAGAGATATGAGTTTAAGTACTGTTTTTGGAACAACAGAAAACTGACAAATAACACGTAAACCCATGAAAATGAGGCAACATTCACAACCATGCTGAATATATATGTCTGAGCAGAAGAAGCATCTTGAGCGAATGCACAAATTGCAATTGTTACGTTATTGTTGACTTATTAGTGATTGGTCGTTGTTACGGAAATAAACAAGGAAATAGAAGCTTCAGATCCCACTCCCATGCCCACCACTACAGAATGAGATAAATTGAATGGGCAATGCTGAAACTTAGAATATTTCGGTTTGTCAAACTCATTAAAGGTTGCGTTCACAGAGCTTCGTTCTGAGCGTAAAGCGTGTAATAATGTTGCATAATACAGCAACGTCCAAAACATTTGGGTGTGACTGCTCGATAACCAGTTTGGTTCCCTGCGACTTCCCTTCCCCTGTAAAATTGTGTAATTTTTTTTTTGTCATAATTTATGATTGTGATATTTTTTACTGATTCAATGTTAATTTTTATATACAGTTGTTATTGCAGTTGGCAATAGTAATGCATTGACTTCAAAACAGGAAACCTCGGCATCAAACAAAAATGAACAGTCACTCAGATATATAAGCAGGACAGTCACTGCATGGATAGAGCCTACAACATTAGTTTCCAACCTTTTACCCCTGCGGACTGGCAACACAAAAAAATATGGCTCATGATCCAGTCAAATTTTCAAAATGAATGGAACAGATGTGTTGTTTCGATCAAAACATTTTGTTGTGAATGTCTGATTAAACACCAACAAATACGATTATTTGCCACAGCTTTAATCCCGGCAAGCGATTAATTAAATTAAATATTTATTCATCTGACATTGTAAAATAGCTATCCAACTTAACCAAAATCAGCAGTGCGAAGAGTTATCAGAGAATACAAGAAAAATGGCAAAAATATAACCGCTAAGAAAAATAAAACATTTTCACCGGGCCTCAAGTAATTTGTGAAACTGCTGAGAATATTATTGTATTGTTTTCTCTTGCCTGTTTCTCTAATAAAAGCCTTTATACACTCACTATTACCCCAAACAATATAAGTCAATTACTAAGATATCACTCAGTTCAACGATTTACCAATTGTGCTAAGCACTGCGAAAAAGGGTCGAAGCTGTGATGTCTTGTTGGAGCTGGAGCCAAGCCTATCATTTTAGTGTGAGGCGAAGCTTCCAGGAAATTTAGTGACTCAAGCTCTCGACCAATTAATTATTTTTCACATTCATAATTTTCTTAAAAAATTTCCATTATTTTTCAGTTTTTTTTTTTTTTTTCAACAGTTAATTTCTGATATTATGTCACAATTCCAGAGTTGAATTTGTATAATTAAAATATCCATTCAATATTCACTTAATTTAGAAAATTCTTTTAATAAGCGTTGGTCATTACTGTATAGATATAGATATTTCCGAAAAATTGTTCATATACTTTAGTATTGCAAAATTTGTGATGCATAATTGGGGATTGTTTTGGAGATATCGCGCTTACAAACTGGTTTAGAGAAAATCTACGATAGACTGGGATTAAATTACCTAACAACCTGTTAGCGGCATGGATGGCTCTAAACAGGTTGTTAGCTAATTTATGCCCAGTCTATCGTAGATTTTCTGGGAATAATTTTCAATGCATTAAATTGGAGCGCGTAGGAAGTTATAATGACATTTAAGATATTCAATAAACAACTTATTTATGAAAAAATTGTTACGTCATTGTTGACCTTTTAGGGATTAGTCACTGTTCCTGAAATAAACAAGAAAATCAAAGCTCGGGAAAAATATCTATTACATCACAGATTAAAATTTTCAGATTCCATTCCTATGCCCTCCACTTCATGGTTTGTTAAACAGTTTGGGCAATACTGAACCTGAAATATTTCAGTTTGTCAAACTCATCAATGGCTGCTTGTACAGAGTTTTGTTACGAGTGTAAAGCATGTGATAATGTCGTATAATACAGCAATCTCCAAAACATTTGGGTGTCGCTGCTCAATAACCAGTTTGGTTCGTCGCGACTTCTCTTCCCCAGTAAGTAAATTATTTTTTTGTCATAAATTATGATTGTGATATTTTTTACTGGTTGAAAAAATAAACTTGACTTGAAATTTCTAAATGATGGCAAATATATGTTCAGGTATGTGAACTGTTTTTTTTTCTATTTATTTGATGGAAATGTAACCCAAACAAAATCTGATAGCTGATTAAAATTTTCCTAGTTAATTAAGATATATATACTACATGAGGAAAAGTCTTTTTGGAATACCAGAGACCAATTTTGTAAAATTCCATTGAAAAAATATTCCCATACGAAATAGAAAAAAGCAGTATTTGACTTTTTGAAGGGTCACTTCATTCAAGTTGACTTATACAGTTGCTATTGCAGTGGACGATAGCAATGCATTGTCTTCAATACAGAAAACCTCCACATCGAACATAAATGAACAGTCACTCAGATATATATGCAAGACTGTCACTGCATGGATAGAGCCTGGAACAGTGGTTACCAATCATTACTATGCGGACTGGGAACATCCAAAAACGAATAAACACTAAAAAATATAGGTTTATTCGCCAAAGCGTTAATCCCGGCAAGCGGTTAATTAAAAACGATGACTAAAACTTGAGTGATATTCGTTTTCATGGTTGCATTGGCGATCATTCAAGAACAAATTTGGAAAAGAAAATATGGGCAAATCAAATATCATGACCAGAGATATGAGTTTAGTTTTTTTTTGAAACAACAGAAAACTGCAAATAACGTGCAAAACCATAAAAAAGGCAATGCTCACAACTATGCTGAATATTTGTCTGAGCAAATTAAGTGTCTGAGCAGGTGCACATATTGCCTATCCATTGCATCATAGTGTTTAAAACTCTCAGATTCCGCTCCCATGCACCACCATTTATCAAAAATTCAACTGTCTGTTGTTTTGATGGAAATGTAACCCAATCAAAATCTGATAGATGATTTAAATTTTCTTCGTTAATTAAGACATATATACTACATGAAGTAAAAGTTTCTTATTAATTAGGCTTTTTGCAATTACAAGCGACCAATTCTATTTGAAATGGTATTGGCGTACATGTAGAGAGAGAAAAGGGGTATTTCACGTTTTAAGAGGCATTTTGTTTAGGTCAAACTTATGTATGGTTGTTATTACAGTGGGCGAAAGAAATGCCTTGCCTTTAATACAGAATACCTCCACATCAAATAAGTATAAACAGTCACTCAGATATATAAGCAGGACTGTCATTGCAGAGATAGAACCTATAGAAAATGTTTCCAACTATTCACCCTTGCGGACTGACAACTTAAAATAATATGGATCACAGATAACCAGTAAAATTTTTGAAATGAATGAAATATACGTGGTGTTTTGATCAAAATGTTTTGTGGCAAATGACCAATTAAACATGAGCTAATATGATTATTCACCACAGCGTTAATCACGGCAAGCGGTTAATTAAAAACATTGAATCAAACTTGAGTTCCAAGAAATTCTGCTTCTATAGTTGGTTTGGCAATCGTTCAATAATGAATTTGAAATGGACTACATGGGCGAATGACTATAAACAGAAGAGAATGTGAGTTTTTAAAAGATCTGAAAACTGACAAATAACATGCGAAACCACGAAAACGAGGTAATGTTCAAAGCCATGCTAATTATCCGTCTGAGAGAAGAAGTGTTTAAGCGGCTGCACAAATTGCGATTGTTACGTTATTGTTGACTTATTAGTGATTGGTCATTGTTACGGTAATAAACAAAGAACCGAGACTCCATTGAATCACAGAATAAAATTTTCAAATTTCACCCCCATGCCCACCACCTCAGGGTGTGATAATCTGTGTGGGCAATGCTGAACTCAAGATATTTAGATCTGCCAAACTCATCAATGGCTACTTACACTGAGCTTTGTTCCATGTGAAAAGCATGTAATAATGTCGCATAGAACAGCAAAAAATTCGAAATTATAGCAAATAAATGATCAGATATATAAACTGATCTTTACCTTTGCATTACCAGTGTTTTCCTTGAATGCTTTCATTTTTTCTGCTGTCAGATTGCAATTCCAAGCCTTCAATTTCTTCACCTGGCATTTAGATACAACTGATCCAGCTCCACTAAAGTCAGCAGTGCCAAGATTAGTGTTTCCACTGACATCTAGTATATCCAACTGAAATAAATAAGACCAGTGAGCCAATCTAGATTAGAGTTGGCAATTTTGCATGACAAGGTGAAGAACTTTATTATTTGTTGTTAATAAAGAACCGAGAGCATTGAAGCCTTTTTCATCCATTGGATTTTCACTGATATTAACCTGAACAGCTAAAAACATATAAATGAAATTTAATCAACAAAGAGATTACATATCTGAATTCTCTCTAAAAGTTTTGTGACAGATACGATTAATAAAAACCGACATAAAAAAAACTAGTTTTTTAGCAGAAAGCATAAATATAGTGTATCAACTAGTTCAAATAAAATATAAGAATCTAAGTTTCCACATCATCTCTGATTACCTTGCTTGGGGTTGCAGGTTTGAATCCTGTGGGGAACAATTATGTGCGAAAGGGTTGCTGGACTTCTTGCCAATGTAGTGTGTTTCACGTAACTGCTGGTCGAGTATGGCTTTTTCCATCATCAAGTCCATGCTTCCGAAAACAAATAACTAGCTAACTAATCCCATGACCGACATAGACTGGTAACCGGACCAGAGGCTGTGATTAGCCATATGATTAAGCCGCCTCATCTCTCCCCTGAGAAAAATATGCAATTCCCATCCTATCCTAGTAAATTCCAGTCTAACAGAGAAAACTAATGGGAAAATATGGGGACCTCTTGAAGTATGCGCATCAAGATGGCGCACAACTTGAACTCAGGTCCAAAAAAGTTGCTGACAAAAGTTGCTCGCCACCTAGTTTGACAGGAATGCCGAATTGAAAATCACTACGCACACACTTAACAGATTATTTAATTATATATCAAGAAACAATTTAAAACAAAACCTTCAATCCTGAGTAACTTCCAAGAACATCTTGTTTTCTTTTTGTGAGTTGGCTATTTTGCATGACAAGGTCAAAAGCCCTATTATTTGCTGTCAGTATTGTGACAGGTACGATTCATAAAAACCGAGTGTCAGGGATGGCCAATATTGAATGAATGTACTATTCCGAATACATTCAAAATTATTGTTTTTGAATATGAAATTTTGAATACATTGGAAACTAAATCCAAGTAAAGTAAGTTCATCTTAGTGTATGAAGGAATGTGCATACAATAAACAATGGAATATCTGCTATCTAACATTTTAGCTAATCAAGAAAGGAAGTTTCTTTCACAAAAGTGGTTGTTTGTATCGAACCTAGACCAGTGGTTCTCAAACGGTGGGGTGCAGACAATTTTTTGAGGGGCTGTAAAGCTAATTGAAAACAAAATATTAGTTAAATTTGATCTAGCACGCCTTATCTTGGATATTTACATCTTTGATTTTAGATATTCCCGAAAAAAGAAGACTTCACTATCCAAATCTACCAATATCAAACATCATAAAACCAGCTGTTTTGTGTGTATTTTCCAGCCAACTCAACAAAAGAGCAACAGTGGCATGATATTATAATATAACTTGGTCATACTCTTAATCCAGAATGACTTCCAAGAGCATCAAGTTTTGCTTTTGTTAGCTGGCAATTTTTTGCAATGAGTTGGTCAACTTCATAGTTTGACAAAAGGTCAGCGAGAACATCAAAAGCTTCTTCGTCCATTAAATTTTGACTGATATCAATAACGGATATCTAAAAACATAAAGATAACGAACATCAGTGTTAGTTACTGTGTTAGTAGGCACACAGAAGAGTGAATTTAGAACCACTAACACAAGTTGATTTTCTGATATATATCAACATCACGCATCAAAATGACGTAAAACAGTGAAAAATAAATAATAAGCCATCCATATACCCTAATACTTTCAAAAACATTTCAACACCTCAAAAACCAACTAGCTAAACAATAAGCTACAAATAACAGACCCTTAAGCGAAAATGTTTTTTATTCAAAAAATACGTAGAGAATACATGGATGGAATGTAAATATCCAAAATAAACAAATTTAAATATGCAAAACAAGTCGGGCAGGATCAAATCTAACAAATATTTTTATTTTTAATTGGCTTCACTCCCTCTCAAAAAATTGTCTAAGCCATTGCGCCCCACCGTTTGAGAACCACTGCCCTAATGGGACTAGCTTCAACAAGCAAAGTAAGAAAGGTTAATGTCCAATGCATGACCATGTACGTAAGTTAACCTGTTTGATACCTTGGCAAGATTCTTGTTGTTGCTGACATTTAGGTTATCCAACAAGAATAAATAATTAAATTACGGTAGTCCTTCAATTCATCTATAAGTTGAATATTCTTTTTGCGAATATATTTTGTATTTGAAATATTATTTGAAAATGTCTTCGGGATAGACGATGGTTTGGGGTTGACCTTCTCTGGATATCAATTTCCGTAATGGATTAGGCAAGAGGTGTGCAACCTTTTTCATTGACGGGCCAAATACAAGTAACTGGGTGAAGCTACGGGCCGCACATTTATTTAATTCAGACTTTTTAGTAGTTGCAAGCCATAAAAAATTGCTTATATTTGCTAGTGATCTTACGGTATTACTATTGATTCTTGCAGAAATAGTGAGTTAAAACGCGTAAACTTCTGAAGAAACTGCTATTTGTATTTATTGTCACACCCACTTTAAACCAATTCTGTGAGAAACATGTTTTTGTAATATTTATCGTGTATTTTGCAAAAAAGGTTGCTAACTTGTTTTGCTATCGTTCCCTTACTCCGCGTGCCAACCAGTATGGAATGGCGCAAAATGAACGAGGTTGCCCCACAAGACTAGTTGTGATAGGTTTTGCAGTGTGTATTGGAGACTAGAAAATATGTAAGGGTGGTGTCACAGTAAATTTTTTGATATAATACAGACCTTCCCACAAAGTTTGTATTTTCTTAATTTCTTTAATTGCTCTTTATTTGCTTTAGAGAAATCCAATGAATTCATTAAAAATTTTTTGACTCCACTTCGACTTGCAAACTCAAATATTGTAAGACATAGATCAGATGGCATCCGGCTGATGGATTGAACATTCAGAACATTGATCTGAAAATTATTGTATCTGTTGATAAACTACAAGTATAAAGGTTCCTAGAATATGGAAATTTATGGGTATCATATTTTTTCCCAGACCGATCAGATATCATTAAAAATAGTCAATAGCGATATTGCAGTAGGTTATGAAGGTGACTGCAAATGCACATGTTATTTATGTTTACATTTGATATGAAACCAGTATGCACATATGAACATACAAAATAGCAAATAACTGATGGCCCCAACTTGCAACCATTCTATCTATATTTTCTCATTAGTTTTCTCTAGGTAGAGATAAGGATAGAGTAATATTTGGTACTCTTAAAATATGCGCACCAAGATGGCGCACAAACTGAACCCTAACCTTATACACAACCTGGACCTGAAAATATAGACCAAAAAAGTTGCTGGTAAAAGTCGCTCGCCACCTAGTTTGACAGGAATGCTGAATAGAAAATCACTACGCATACACTCAACAGATTATTTAATTATATATCAAGAAACAATTTAAAACAAAACCTTTAATCCTGAGTGACTTCCAAAAGCGTCTAGTTTTTCTTTTGTGAGTTGGCAATTTTGCATGACAAGGTCAAGAGCCATATTATTTGCTGTCAATAAAGAACCGAGAGCATTGAAGCCTTTTTCATCCATTGGATTTTCACTGATGTCAAACCTGGATAACTGAAACATAGATAAATAAATGGATTTCAGGTATAAATAAGATTACATATCTAAATCCTATCCAGAACGTTTGGAACAGATACTGGCTCCTGGCTCATTAAGAAAAGTAGTTTGACTAGTTTCTTGCATAAAAGTGGTTGTTTGTACAGACTCTAGCTTAGACATTATACCGAATGAAAGTGTGATGCTATATTTTTTGACATTATTATTATTCGAAATCATAATACCTTTCACATGGCTACCTCAAACAATTTAATAAACATTTACCTAAAGACACTTTACTACCCAAATTTACCAATATCAAATATCATATAAAATTGACTGATTCGTGTGTATTTTCCGACCAGCTTAACAACAGGTAAACACAGTGGCATAATATTACAACTTTGTCATACTTTTAATCCAGAATGACTTCCAAGAGCATCAACTTTTGCTTTTGTTAGCTGGCAATTTTTTGCAATGAGTTGGTCAACTTCATAGTTTGATAAAAGGTAACCAAGAGTATCAAAAGCTTTTTCGTCCATTGGATTTTGACTGATATCAATGATGGATATCTGAAAGCATAAAGATAACGCAACATCATTAATGTGGTAAAAGCAAGTTTGGTTGATTTATCAATATATATAATCTTACGCTTTAAATTGTTGAAAAACAGTGGGAAATAACTGATAAGACACATTTAAATACTACCAATATAACCATTTCAAAAACAAAAAGCCATTAGTAAACAACTACCCCATATAAGATAGGCCGATTACAGAAGGCTGAATTAGGCAATTATTTTGTTATCATATTCCAAGTCGTCATAATATGTTACACACCTTTCCACAGACTTTCCATTTACTCAATTCCAATATTTGATCTTTAGTTGCTTTGAACTCTTCCCATGGGTCCATCAGAAGTTCTTTGACCTCATTTTCACTTGCAAACTTAGATATTGCAAGAAATAGATTGAATGTCATGCCGGTTATGGATCGAATATCCAGAGAGCAAAACTAGTAAAACGAATAGGATTATTCGGAGGAAACTTTGAAAATTTATGAAAATGAAAGATAGTATTTCATATCAATGCCTGTAATATGGGGAAATTATGACTCATAGAAGAATAAATCTCAACTAACAAATTATGTCATAGGGGAGTGTTCATATTCAACATTTTTATATAATATTCACAAATAAATTTCGAAATTTGTAACAAATAGAAGCAAGATTAAAAATGACGTGCTGTAAAACAATTTGCTAGCTCTATAAGTTACACTGTCAAGCTTCAGTTGGATCATGACAAAGCCTAGCTTGCCTATGGAGTCTAATACTCCATAGTTATTATGACACCCTGTAGTTTATTTTTAAACTTTGCTGTTCTTTTTTGTGATCGAGTCTAATTAAGTGAATGTTTAGGTAATTTTTCGTGGTCATTGTGGCATTAGCAGCTTAAAGGCATTCTTTTTGTTGTCCCTTTTATATATATGATTGTGTCGAATTTAGTGACTATTTATTATTGAGTTGTTCGGTTGCTATATTTGCTGCTTCAATGCAGCTACAAGGTGTCGCTGACTGGATTACTCTTTGAGTCTTTCGCGATCCCCCGTCTATTGCAACAAGCCGATATCCCTCTTCGTAATTTGTTATATGCCTTTTGTTTATTTTTTCATATCGTATATTGGTTTTGCATGACGAAAATAAAATCTGAATCAGCTATATGGGTGCCATGTTTCCATTACAAAGAGAGTGCTTGAGTTCTTGATAGGTTTTATAACTTTTTATAAACAGAAGTTAACAAATAATACCAATAAAACCCATTTGCTTTAAATCGTTAACACTGAAAAGGAGTGAAGTTCAAAAAAAGAGATCAATTCAATCTACTCTACATCACCATCTAGTTTGGCAAGAATGCTGGATAGAAAATCACTACGGATATACTTAACAGATTATTCAAAGATATATCAAGCAGCAATATTAAACAAACCTTTAATTCTGAGTGACTTCCAAGAGCGTCCAGTTTTTCTTTTGTGAGTTTGCAATTTTGCATCACAAGGTGAAGAACCTTAAAATTTGTTGTTAATAAAGAACCGAGAGCATTGAACCCTTTTTCATCCATTGGGTTTTCATTGATATTAATCCTGGACAGCTAAAAACATATAAATGAAATTTAATCAACAAATAGATTACATATCTGAATTCTCTCTAAAAGTTTTGTGACAGATACGATTAATAAAAACCGACATAAAAAAAACTATTTTTTTTAGCAGAAGGCATAAATATAGTGTATCAACTAGTTCAAATAAAATATAAGAATCTAAGTTTCCACATCATCTCTGATTACCTTGCTTGGGATTGCAGGTTTGAATCCTGTGGGGAAAAATTATGTGCGGAAGGGTTGCTGGAATTCTTGCCAATGTAGTGTGTTTCACGTAACTGCTAGTCGATTATGGCTTTTTCCATCATCAAGTCCATGCTTCCGAAAACAAATAACTAGCTAACTAATCCCATGACCGACATAGACTGGTAACCGGACCAGAGGCTGTGATTAGCCATATGATTAAGCCGCCTCATCTCTCCCCCGAGAAAAATATGTAATTCCCATCCTATCCTAGTAAATTCCAGTCTAACAGAGAAAACTAATGGAAAAATATAGGGACCTCCTGAAGTATGCGCACCAAGATGGCGCACAACCTGAACTCAGGTTGTGTATAAGGTTATATTTCAGGTTGTGCAACATCTTGGTGCGCATACTTCAGGAGTACCAATTATAGTCCAAAAAAGATGCTGACAAAAGTTGCTCGCCACCTAGTTTGACAGGAATGCCGAATTGAAAATCACTACGCATACACTTAACAGATTATTTAATTATATATCAAGAAACAATTTAAAACAAAACCTTCAATCCTGAGTGACTTCCAAGAACATCTGGTTTTCTTTTTGTGAGTTGGCTATTTTGCATGACAAGGTCAAAGGCCCTATTATTTGCTGTCAGTATTGTGACAGATACGATTCATAAAAACCGAGTGTCAGGGATGGCCAATATTGAATAAATGTACTATTTCGAATACATTCAAAATTATTGTTTTTGAATATGAAATTTTGAATACATTGGAAACTAAATCCAAGTAAAGTAAGTTCATCTTAGTGTATGAAGGAATGTGCATACGATAAACAATGGAATATCTGCTATAACATTTTAGCTAATCAAGAAAGGCAGTTTCTTTCACAAAAGCGGTTGTTTGTATCGAACCTAGACCAGTGGTTTTCAAACGGTGGGGTGCAGACAATTTTTTGAGGGGCTGTAAAGCTAATTAAAAACAAAATATTCGTTAAATTTGATCTAGCACGCCTTATTTTGGATATTTACATCTTTGATTTTAGATATTCCCGCAAAAAAGAAAACTTTACTGTCCAAATCTACCAATATCAAACATCATAAAACCAGCTGTTTTGTGTGTATTTTCCAGCCAACTCAACAAAAGGGCAACAGTGGCATGATATTATAATATAACTTGGTCATACTTTTAATCCAGAATGACTTCCAAGAGCATCAAGTTTTGCTTTTGTTAGCTGGCAATTTTTTGCAATGAGTTGGTCAACTTCATAGTTTGATAAAAGATCACCAAGAGCATCAAAAGCTTCTTCGTCCATTGAATTTTGACTGATATCAATGATGGATATCTGAAAGCATAAAGATAACGCAACATCATTAATGTGGTAAAAGCAAGTTTGAATGTTTAGTTGATTTATCAATATATATAATCTTACGCTTTAAATTGTTGAATAACAGTGGGAAATAAATGATAAGACACATTTAAATACTACCAATATAACCATTTCAAAAACAAAAAGCCATTAGTAAACAATTACCCCCATACCCCACACTGAAAAGGAGTGAAGTTAAAAAAAAAGAGATCAATTCAATCTACTCTACATCGCCATCTAGTTTGGCAAGAATGCTGGATAGAAAATCACTACGGATATACTTAACAGATTATTCAAAGATATATCAAGCAGCAATATTAAACAAACCTTTAATTCTGAGTGACTTCCAAGAGCGTCCAGTTTTTCTTTTGTGAGTTTGCAATTTTGCATCACAAGGTGAAGAACCTTAAAATTTGTTGTTAATAAAGAACCGAGAGCATTGAACCCTTTTTCATCCATTGGGTTTTCATTGATATTAATCCTGGACAGCTAAAAACATATAAATGAAATTTAATCAACAAATAGATTACATATCTGAATTCTCTCTAAAAGTTTTGTGACAGATACGATTAATAAAAACCGACATAAAAAAAAACTATTTTTTTTAGCAGAAGGCATAAATATAGTGTATCAACTAGTTCAAATAAAATATAAGAATCTAAGTTTCCACATCATCTCTGATTACCTTGCTTGGGATTGCAGGTTTGAATCCTGTGGGGAAAAATTATGTGCGGAAGGGTTGCTGGAATTCTTGCCAATGTAGTGTGTTTCACGTAACTGCTAGTCGAGTATGGCTTTTTCCATCATCAAGTCCATGCTTCCGAAAACAAATAACTAGCTAACTAATCCCATGACCGACATAGACTGGTAACCGGACCAGAGGCTGTGATTCGCCATATGATTAAGCGGCCTCATCTCTCCCCCGAGAAAAATATGTAATTCCCATCCTATCCTAGTAAATTCCAGTCTAACAGAGAAAACTAATGGAAAAATATAGGGACCTCCTGAAGTATGCGCACCAAGATGGCGCACAACCTGAACTCAGGTTGTGTATAAGGTTATATTTCAGGTTGTGCGACATCTTGGTGCGCATACTTCAGGAGTACCAATTATAGTCCAAAAAAGATGCTGACAAAAGTTGCTCGCCACCTAGTTTGACAGGAATGCCGAATTGAAAATCACTACGCATACACTTAACAGATTATTTAATTATATATCAAGAAACAATTTAAAACAAAACCTTCAATCCTGAGTGACTTCCAAGAACATCTAGTTTTCTTTTTGTGAGTTGGCTATTTTGCATGACAAGGTCAAGAGCCCTATTATTTGCTGTCAGTATTGTGACAGATACGATTCATAAAAACCGAGTGTCAGGGATGGCCAATATTGAATAAATGTACTATTTCGAATACATTCAAAATTATTGTTTTTGAATATGAAATTTTGAATACATTGGAAACTAAATCCAAGTAAAGTAAGTTCATCTTAGTGTATGAAGGAATGTACATACGATAAACAATGGAATATCTGCTATAACATTTTAGCTAATCAAGAAAGGCAGTTTCTTTCACAAAAGTGGTTGTTTGTATCGAACCTAGACCAGTGGTTTTCAAACGGTGGGGTGCAGACAATTTTTTGAGGGGCTGTAAAGCTAATTAAAAACAAAATATTCGTTAAATTTGATCTAGCACGCCTTATCTTGGATATTTACATCTTTGATTTTAGATATTCCCGCAAAAAAGAAGACTTTACTGTCCAAATCTACCAATATCAAACATCATAAAACCAGCTGTTTTGTGTGTATTTTCCAGCCAACTCAACAAAAGAGCAACAGTGGCATGATATTATAATATAACTTGGTCATACTTTTAATCCAGAATGACTTCCAAGAGCATCAAGTTTTGCTTTTGTTAGCTGGCAATTTTTTGCAATGAGTTGGTCAACTTCATAGTTTGATAAAAGATCACCAAGAGCATCAAAAGCTTCTTCGTCCATTGAATTTTGACTGATATCAATGATGGATATCTGAAAGCATAAAGATAACGCAACATCATTAATGTGGTAAAAGCAAGTTTGAATGTTTAGTTGATTTATCAATATATATAATCTTACGCTTTAAATTGTTGAAAAACAGTGGGAAATAAATGATAAGACACATTTAAATACTACCAATATAATCATTTCAAAAACAAAAAGCCATTAGTAAACAATTACCCCATATAAGATAGGCCGATTACAGAAGGCTGAATTAGGCAATTATTTTGTTATCATATTCCAAGTCGTCATAATATGTTACACACCTTTCCACAGACTTTCCATTTACTCAATTCCAATATTTGATCTTTAGTTGCTTTGAACTCTTTCCATGGGTCCATCAGAAGTTCTTTGACCTCATTTTCACTTGCAAACTTAGATATTGCAAGAAATAGATTGAATGTCATGCCGGTTATGGATCGAATATCCAGAGAGCAAAGCTAGTAAAACGAATAGGATTATTGCGAGGGAAACTTTGAAAATTTATGAAAATGAAAGATAGTATTTCATATCAATGCCTGTAAAATGGGGAAATTATGACTCATAGAAGAATAAATCTCAACTAACAAATTATGTCATAGGGGAGTGTTCATATTCAACATTTTTATATAATATTCACAACTAAATTTCGAAATTTGCAACAAATAGAAGCAAGATTAAAAGTGACGTGCTGTAAAACAATTTGCTAGCTCTATAAATGACACCGTCAAGCTTCAGTTTAATCATGACAAAGCCTAGCTTGCCTATGGAGTCTAATACACACTAGTTATTATGACACCCTGTAGTTTATTTTTAAACTTTGCTGTTCTTTTTCTGTGATCGAGTCTAATTAAGTGAATGTTTAGGTAATTTTTCGTGGTCATTGTGGCATTAGCAGCTTAAAGGCATTCTTTTTGTTGTCCCTTTTATACATATGATTGTGTCGAATTTAGTGACTATTTATTATTGAGTTGTTCGGTTGCTATATTTGCTGCTTCAATGCAGCTACAAGGTGTCGCTGACTGGATTACTCTTTGAGTCTTTCGCGATCCCCCGTCTATTGCAACAAGCCGATATCCCTCTTCGTAATTTGTTATATGCCTTTTGTTTATTTTTTCATATCGTATATTGGTTTTGCATGACGAAAATAAAATCGGAATCTGAATCAGCTATATGGGTGCCATGTTTCCATTACAAAGTTTTGTGACAGATACGATTAATAAAAACCGACATAAAAAAAACTATTTTTTTTAGCAGAAAGCATAAATATAGTGTATCAACTAGTTCAAATAAAATATAAGAATCTAAGTTTCCACATCA